TGTGCGCCTCCAACGGTGAAGAAATCGTCAGCCTAGCCGCAGTATCCCTATTCAAAACATATACAAGTTTTTGTTTCTCACAAGCCCCAATCATCACGGCACGGCCTTTCGGGTCAATCGCCAAGTACTGCCCTGGAACAATCCGGCGACAACCCGATTTCCCAAATGTTTCTTGATGAACTTTATCAAACACATTCTTTTCTTTGTTGTATTCAAGAATCACGATTCGACCCGAGTCGGAACCGACTACAATGTAGTCTTTTTGGGAACCAGTTAACCTAAACTGAGCTAAAGACCTAATAGCACCGAAAATTTCAACAGAGAGAATAGTTTGGATCTTACCGTTCTCGTCGGGTCGAAGAAGATCGAGGACTTTGCCTCTCGCGACTGCGATTTCTTGAGATTTTCCACCTGAGAAGTTTCCATTGATAGCGCAAACTATGCCAGTGGCTTGTTGCAGAGTGAGATTGTAGAGATACATGACTAAACCCTAAAAACCGAAAATCAAGTTCGAAAACCCTAGGCCTTGGGGGGGAGAGGGAGAAGAGAAGGTGAAAACCCTAATCTGAAAAATAGATTGAGAGACACTACACTACAGATGTAGAGCTAAACCCTTTAAAACCCTAGAATCGAAATGGTGATAGATATATATAATTCATGGAGAGCAAAGAGAGGCCGTGAGATATAGAAAGTGGGAGTGGGGATTTTACGGGCACGACGGTGGAAAGTACTGGACCTATTTATAGAGGCCATGGGTATCCTAAACCGGTTTTGTATTTTGGCTACGTTTGGCTACGCCAAAAAATGTCATTTACTTATTTTTGATGAAAAATGCTTGCTTCATCAAAATAGAGGAAGTTGAACTCCGCTAGTGGTTGGATGATCGTTTGGACAATTGGTATCACTTTTATCAATTACGGTTACTCACTCCGTCCTAAAATAATGGTCCCTTTTATGCTATGTTTGGTTGGAGGATTTGGAGAGGAATTTGGAAAGGGAAACGAAAAAGGTAGGTAAAATATCAATAAAACATGTCTATATTTCACATAGTTTCACACACCTTTTCCCTTTCCCTTTCCAAATCCCTCTCTAAATCCCCCAACCAAACACAACATTAGGGAATCCAACTTTTTTTGATAGTACAATTATTGTACTTTTAAAAAGTTAGTTTTCCAAAATTACCCTTTGATAGTACACTTTTTTGAGAATATCAATGTCATAATTGTACTTTTTATATTATTTATGAATTTAAAAGAAGGGCAAAATGGGAAATTTATATTATTTTTGTACTTGATTTTTGAAGAGGGACTAATATTTTGGGACAATGAAAAATGGAATAAGGAACTAATATTATGGGACGGAGGGAGTATTATTTTTATCAATTGTGACTATCATTCTTATTAATCAATGTATCAACTGACATCTATTTAGATAATCAGCATTCTCTTAAATGATTGGCCAAACAATTAACATACACAAATTTGATCAATTTGAGCCAGATCAAATTCGATGAATGTATCATTATTATTTTTCAATTTTATTTTATTTTTAATGACTTTTAAAAAAAATGTTAAAAAAAAATATTTTTCGGTTCATTTTGTATAAAAATATCTAAAAAGTAAAAAAAAAAAATCATAAAAAAATTTTAAAAATAAACCAAAAAATTTTACTATTTTTTGTTTATTTTTATTTTTGCTAATTTCTATTGATATCGTCGTGCTGAATCTAGAAATTTTAAAAATAATAATAATTTTTTAAAAAAAATTTTACTAAAAACACCCAAAAAAAGAAAAAAAAAAACTACCAAAAAACTCCAAACACTCTGATGTATTCAATTGATATATTTTTTTAAAATAATAATTTTTGTTTGATTGAAGCATTTTCTTTTTTTTTTGCCTTGTTTTTTTTTTGTTGCCTTATATGGAAATGTAGGGGCATTCGGACCCCTAAATTTCGAGCTACCAACCAAAACCGAAAAAAAACTACCAAAAAACTCCAAACACTCTGATGTATTCAATTGATATATTTTTTTAAAATAATAATTTTTGTTTGATTGAAGCACCAATAAATCTTAAAATGTGATATTATAAACTGTTTAATTCTCTCTTTTTTCTTATAAACCCAAATGTTCCATTAGAGTGAAAATTATACAAAAATATAGTCACTTATACATTTTAATTTAATTTTTGAGGGATAAAAATGAGTTTCTCCAAATATAAAATTACACATTTAAGTAATTCGCGTTATAGAAATTTTGGATTTCCCTTCCTTATGAAACAAAACCCACATTACAAATAACAACGTGACACTCAAATAACGTAACATTTCAATATAACACACTAAAAAACTTTTTAATGTACTTTTTTACAAATGTAACACCGTAACATTTTAAAAAAAATGCTTAGTATATTTTTTTCAAACGTAAGATTTCAATGTAACACACAAAAAAAAATTGTGTGTACTTTTCTCAAACATAACACTTCAATTAACATAATCTCAAACATAACACTCCAATATAACACACAAAAACACTAAAAATACTTCTTAGTGTACTTTTCCCAAATATAACACTTACATTTTGAAATTATACATTTATCCAAAACTTATCAAAAAATATTTGTACTCCTTTTGAAATGGTTTGAAAAATTTTGCATCATTTTGAAATGGTTTGAAGAATACCATATACACTAAAGAGTTTTTTATGTGTTATATTGGAATGTTACACTAAGAAATTTTTTTGGAGTGTTACGTTTGGAAAATGTATACTAAGGAGTTTTTTTTATATATTACATTGGAGTGTTATACTAAAGAGTTTTTTTTGAAGTGTTACGTTTGGGGAAAGTATACTAAAGAGCTTTTTTGGTGTGTTATATTGGAGTACTACATTTGAGTGTTACATTAGAATATTATAGTTTGAAATTATACATTTTTCTAAAGTTTACTAAGGAGTTTTTGTATTTATTTTGAAATGTTTGAATAATCTCACATTTATTTGAAATGTTTGAAGAATCTCATATTTTAAGTCATTTTTGTATTGCTTTTGGAATGTTTAAAGAATCTCAAATTTCAAGTTATTCTAAATAAAAAAGATTTACATATAAAAATCCATCCCAAATTTGATTATCATAAGTTGTGTATCTGACATTTTTAGCACCAAAAGAAAAAAAAAAAGAAATAAGGGTATAACTGTAAATCTAATTTTTAAATAATATATTAAATCTAACTTTATAAAATTAATGAGACTAAATAATCTATAAAAAAAACCATTGGGACTAAACGGATTATCATTTCTCAAAATGAGATTTATAGGTAAATTTTCCTTTTTGTTTTGATGCCATCTTTAATACTTTATCTTTTCTTTTATTAAATTTAAATTTGATAAAAAAATATATATTTAGAAATCATCTTCAATTCTTTTATCAATTGTTCATCAAATTACGGGAGAAACACTTTTTTTTTTTTTTTTTTTTATCAAATTGAGAACTCATTAAATTTGAATTTGATAAAAATTTAAAAGATAAACCATAGAGATGAATTTGTTTCATCAAATTTAATGAGAAAAAAAAAAATTGGGAAAAGAGGAAAATTTTTAAAAAGATTTTAATGAAAACTTAATGAAATGAGTAAAGTAAATTATATCAAATCAAGTGCTTTTACTCAAATTTAGAATAAAACTAAATGAAAAAAATTGATAAAAAGTTAAAAAAAACTGCACTAATAATCTAAGTTATGAAAGTTTTCGGCTCAACACTACTTCAAATTGCTGGGCTTTGTGTGCTTTACTACTAACCTACTTCAATTCGTACCTGTCTGTTAATTATTTATCCATTCAATATAAATGGATTATGTGCTTGTATAGTCTAAGAAATAAAAATATGGTTGATAAACAAATTTGTACGGTCCCAATCTGATCCAATAACCTGCCAGAGAAGATGAGAGGAGTCTTTGGGGCATCGGTGTGGAGCCAACCAAAAACCCTCCAATGCCTTTGTTAGAGATGTAAAGGTAGAGAGAGAAATTAGAGATGAAAAGTTTAGGATTTATGATTCCTAACTACTTTTATAGAGGGTCTTTGTCTTGAATCACAACAAGTGGTAATGAGCCTCAATCTGGTTGGATCATGGGCCATATGGGTTGATCTACCAAACTCGAATCTTAACTTATTGTACATATATCAATAATAAATAAATCACAAAACTAAATTAATTAGAGACATGACCGTATTATTTTCCAAACCTATATAATAATTTCTGCATATAAGTAAACTAAGCATATGTGGAATCCCAAAGGTGTCAAGTAGATGCACAATTCAAACAAAAGCATCCAAAAAGAAGGCATTTTATATCAGGTAGAGTGATCAACAAAAATGACTTCCATGACTCTCAATCACCAACTACATAATAACCACCCCACCTCAACCAAACCTCTAGCTAGGCCAATTTTCTCATGCCAACTCTTACATATTAATGAACTAAAATGGCTAACAAATTTCATTTCCTCATATCCCACCATGGATATGCTCAATCTCCCTTCCATTCTACCCATAGCATGGCTACTTTTCTTTTTCTCCCTTATCAATCCATCATTTTCAACTCGAACCATCGGCAATCCATCTCCAACCCACCACCATCACATTCATCTCACCTTCTACATGCTCGACGTGCTTAGTGAGTCTCATCACCACTCACAAAGACCGGTCACGACAAAATTCACCGGACAGCTGCCCTTTCCCAAACCACTAGGCTTTTTCCCTCCCGTTGGTGGAATCCCCCTGCCCGATCCCAATCCAACTCCAGTCACAACTCAAACGCTTGATCTACCGGGAATTGGGATTTCTTTCCCAGCTAGGGCTGCACTTGAGGAACTCGAGTTTGGGACGGTCACAACCATAGATGAGGCCTTATTTCAAGGTGCGTTCGGTTCGGTGTTGATAGGAAAAGCTCAAGGGTTGTATGTTGCGAGCTCGGAAGATGGAAGTAGCCATATGATCGCAATGACAGCTAGTTTTGCCGATGGCAAATACAAGGATGGATTAAGGTTTTTTGGGGTGCACCGGACCGATGTGTCCGAGTCTCATGTTGCTGTCATTGGTGGGACTGGGAAATTTGACTGTGCAAATGGATATGCAACCATTAAGACCATGAATTTAAGCTCGAACAGTGTGGAGAGAGAGAGTGAAGGAGGTTACAAGGTCCTTGCATTCAATATGTATCTTGGTTAATTGGACTTAACTCACCCCAATAACATATGAAGTTCATATTGTGCATCATTGATTACATTGGAGTTGGATGTAAATTTTTATTCAGTTGAAAGAATCTCCCTCAACTATAGTTTTTTGGGATAGATATAATCATTTATTGTAAAAAAATATATATGTGATAATCAATCAGAACACTTCTACACTTATATTAAACTACTCTATTTCAGGTGGTTTCAACCCACTGGGGCCTACGCGCCATAGGTTCAAACTTGGTTTGTTAACTTAATTAACTGATCTGAAATGAGCTTTTAAGGAGCAGAATACAAATCGAGCTCGAATAATTTAGTTCATTTTACAACATAGGTTATGAAATAATCATCAAATGAAGATAACTCCGCTCAATCTTAATCGCCACACTAATTGAAGACAACTAAACCAGCCTGATCTCAGCCTAAGGCTCAATGATGCTTAGCCCGGTCCATTAGATCAACCCAGAATAAAGTCTGGCTGGTCAAACCATGCAACACATTTGACCGGCTAGGCCTCTTCTGCAGAGCCAAACCATGCAACCTTGCAATTGACAGCCCGGCCAACAACAAGGGCCTAGCCCGACCCAACTATCTCGGCACAAATTCCCCTCTCAATAGGGTATGAATGTGTATATGTGACCTTTCTAAGAGCCCGCAAGAGTGACTAATGCGCATATACAGATGAAATCCGAGTGACATTACCTAGCAAGCTCACAGACAAAAGTAAGATCATCACCATCTTCATGCTTTATAATTGGAAAATGGCTAGTGTACAAAAAATATTTTATCAGACAGTTTCAATATCAGTAATTCAGCGCTGCCTGAGCCAGCATTTGCTGTTGTGCTGACACATTGATTTGAATCAAGAAAAAACCCGAGGAGAGTGAAAAATTATCTGTGATTTCTCACCAATCTGGATTGATTAAAACTCAATCTAACATATGATTCACTAATGATCTTAAATACCTGATGTATTGGACCAAACTTTGCATTTGCAAGTCATAAATCAGTCCCAAACCTGAGAATAACCAATATTCTGGATGTTTGAGTGAATCTGTATCAATTGTGTTTCAAGGAGATGCTTAATAAAATGTTGGGTTCTAATTGCAACCCACCAGAATAATAAGAAATGGACAAAGAACAGAATGATTTCATCGTCCTCAGGGAGCAAGAAGATCATGTAATATTTGACATGATGCGATGAATAATTAAAGTGCTGGTAACAAAATTTAGAACAAATTGAATGAGATCTAAGATTATGGGATGAAGAAAACATAAGAATGCAAATTCGCAGTGGTTTCAAAACCATTTGTGATGATTTGATTTGCCCGAGTTGTTCCTCCTCAAATTTTAGTTTAAACAAACAGCAATGGAGGTAATCCGGATCGTTAAAAATGACCAACACATGTAGTCTTCTGTGCAAAAAAAAAAAAAAAAAAACTCAGAATGGCGTTATTCGATTTGTCTATGACTCCGGCATAGAAAGCATCTGGATCAGGGAATTAGAATCAGGGAATCACAATTCCAATTTTAAGCACCCATTTACATGCAACCTAAGTGAAACTGAAATTATCCCCATTTTTGGAATGATATTTGTCCCTGCACCGCGGAAATAAAGGGTGGCAAGAAACTCACCGCTTCAATAACTTAAGAATACAGCCTTTGTCCGTCCCATGCCCTCTCTATAGTCCTTACAAAGTGTTAAGGATCGGCAACAGTTCAGCCTGGCCCAACCTGTGAAAAGCATGCCCCAGCCCTGCAGTGGAGTTAGCCCAGTAGCCTTTTAGCCCAACACCTGCCCAACAGGCTTGGCCGTGGTAGGCGGGCGAACAGGCATAAACGTGTGGTAATATTTCTCCTTTCTATGGTAAGTTTCGATTCAAGTGGAATAATCCAATGAAACAGGGCCATGCTTTGGTGTATGTCACATGTCAAAAGAATTTTTTTCACATTTAGCATTTCATATTCCAAGTGATAATCTAGTTAGCATTGTTAAAAGAACGCACTTTCTTACCGACAATCCTCAAAGTAAAGTAAAAGAACAAGTTGCGAAATTCCTTCATATAATTGGCAATAATTTGAGAAACCGTACAATCAAGTTCTTTTACAGGCGATCTAGTGAGACTATTAGTCGACATTTTCATCAAGTTCTTAAAACCATTATATCATTGGAAGATATCTTTTTAAAGCGACTTGATGGATTCGACTACCCTCCACAGATTAGAAACAATCCCAAGTATTGGCCTTATTTTAAGGTAGTTACATGAATGCAATTAGGGTATATAATATTATATGTTTGGATACTAATAATGAACTTTTTACAGGATTCTGTTCTTAGACAATCAAATTATAATATAGGTCTTGGAAAACAGAGGGGGGCTGGTTTGATGTTCTTGTTCTTGTTCTTGTGCTGTACCCATTACGTACTCATGTGCTTTACATCAATATAATCTTTTTCTTTTGCTGATAAAACAAAAAATTGACTAGTTAATTATTATTATTTGAATGTTATCTTGGAATGAATTATATTTTAATTTGTTATTGTATTATGCGAAACATTGCATTTGTTTGGGTGATAATTTGCTACTAGCTATGCTCTTCTTTCGATATGTTTTATGGCATTTTTTAGTGTAGGTGAAAGGTCACCAAGAATGCTCGGTAGAAATTAACAAGAAACATTTGAAATGGAATAATTAAATGGATATTGTTCTTATCGACTCACTCTTGGACCAAATGCTCAAAGGGCAAAAAATTGGCAGTAGTTTTACATCATCTGCTTATAGGGCTACAAGCAATGCAGTAAGTACCAAGTTTAGCGTACATTGTGATTTCAGTCATGTAAGGAATCAGTTCAAGACTTTAAAAAGGAATCTTGCAATGGCTAACGATATGTTAACAACTAATAGTGGATTTGGATATAATCATTCAACACAACTGATTGAAGCTACAGCAACTGTATGGGCAGCTTACCTCAAGGTATATGTATTACAAGATTGATGTAGTTCTGTACTAGAAAATTAAAATATTTATTTATCAGTATTTAATATAATATTATATATGCTATTCTTTATAGACAAAGCCTAAAGCTTCTCATTTTCGACATGCTCTAATTCAAAACTTTCAAAAGTTGTGTCACCTCTTCGAAAAGGATTGAGCAACTGAGAGCCTTGCTATAGGTCCAAAAGAAAGGCGAAGTCATTAGGCTAGGCAACAAATTCTTTTGGACGATGAAAATACTGATAAGACAGAGTTACTCTCATAGAATTTTGATAGGATTGGAACTCAAGATGACCAAACTGCTGAAGTATCTTATTTCTCTAACTCAAAAAAGAATGAGAATAAATTAGGTGATACTTTGGGTGAGGAAATAAGGTCAATTAAGGATGGTCTAAATGCAGTTGCAACAACACTTGGTCATGGTAACCTTCAGAACTATACAGATGGACAATTATTTGAGGAGATTGAGAAGGTTAGTGGCATGAGTGATGCTTCTCGAATGAAGGTGTATCAAGTTCTTACTAAAAAAGTGAGTGATGCTCAGAACGCCAAGGTCTTTGATTGTCTGTTAAATTTGGATCTTCAATCTTTGATGCATAGTACTATTTTTCTTTCTTTGCTACTTTTGTATTTGAAGTTTTCAGGGATTTTGTGAACCTATGAAATTATCATTAGGCTTAGATTTTTTGTGTGTAGACTTTCTAAGTTGCTTGTTGCACTTGAATGGTAGATTTAGGGCATGTATGTGTCCTTGAGATTCCAAATGGTCTCTGTTGCATAAGGGCCTCTATTGCACTTCTTTATGATATTGTGGATGTGAATGCTATGTACTGCTTATTAAGTTCTATTTTAATGTTGAATTTTTTTTTTTTTTTTTTGTAATGCTTGTGAGATTATTCTGATAAAACTATGAATCTATAACACTGATTAATGCTTTGATAATATTAACTTAATCGTCATTATGTTCACTTTAAATAGGAACTCTTGGAATCATGAACTAATCCGAAACAAAATTATTTTTTTGTTTTGATTCTAGTCGAGTTTTAAGTGTTAATTGTTCAGTTTGGTCCTTAAAATCACAAAATCGATATCTACAAAAAAAAGTAATCTATGGTGATGAAAAGTAACGAAGAAAATAAATTTCCTCACTAAATAAGAATAATCCGTGACGAATTATAAAATTTTGTCACATATAATAAAAAAATAAAATAATAAGTAACGAAATTTATTTTCATCAATAAATACTTCTTTCTAGGTAAGGAAAAATTAAATTTCGTCACCAAAAACTTTCCTACTAATTTCTTTTAGTAGCGCCAAAATTTTAAGACTTCTGGTGAGAAAAAAATTGTCACAAATTATAAAATTATTAGTGAGGAATATATTTTTGTCACCAATAATTCTACATATTTTCTTTTTGAGAAATTTGATTTTAAATATTTTAAGATCATTTAGTAAAAAATATATTTTTGACACTAACACTTTACTTGTTTCCACTTTTCAAAAAACACTTTTCAGAAAATTCTACTTTCTTATTTTTCGTGTTTTTTTTGTTTTTACTGAATTTGTTTAATATTTTAAATAATTTTTTTATTTTTGTAGATACACCTAACATAAATACACCTAAAAAGTAAAAAAATTGTAAAAAAAATCTTTTAAAAATTCACTAAATACTAAAAATACAAAAAAAAAAAAATACAAGAATTCAGTACATTTTTTATATTTTTATATATTTATTAATTTTTTAAAATATTTTTTCATAAATTTTTTACTTTTTAGATACATCTAAGTAAGGTGCATCTACAAAAGTAAAAAAATATTTAAAATTTTAAAAATATTCACTAAAAATAAAAAAATACGAAAACTAAAAAAGTCAATTTTTTTAAAATTTAATCTAAAAAATAAACCAAACACACTGAATAAGTTTTAAAATTTTAAGACTTTTTAGTGAGAAAATTATTTCGTCACTGATGTTGGCTGAAAAATTTTGACATGGTA